AATTATATTATGACCAAATCCTCCATCCTAGCCTCACATGATGCTATTGGTTGCCCCAAGTTTCAAAGGCCCTGTCATATTGTCAAGGTCCTACTCTAGAACGCAAACTAGAGGGAATAATTAAAATATATAGTGTGTATTACTGGATCTTACAGTGTCAGGGCTTAAAGTAAGGAGCAAAGAATATAGTTCTAATACAAAATACAGAAAATCGGAGACAGGTCAAGGTCAAGGATTGGAGAAGGTAGAATAATAATAATAATGCACTTGCACTATACTTTTTGTAGATAGTTCCTGGTGTCCACAAAAATTGAAAACCAGGGGACAAAGTCTGGACAGCAGGACAGGACATGAAAGTCTGTAGCTACCTGGAAAAATCTGGATAATTGGAAGGCATGTGAAAGCTGATGACCTACAACTCCTAAAATCTTTGCTGTGTTTCCTTATGACATTGTATTGAGTAATTCACTAAAGTAAAAATTGTCTGGAATTCAAAGTAAATTTCAAATTTAAGGCCTAAATAGCCATATTGGAAGCCAGGGTCGGACTGAGAACCCTCAGGGCCCCCGGGCAAAATAAATCAAGGGCCCCCTTACAGGCCCCACCCATGCTCCGCAGCAAGCGCCACCCTTGTCCCGCCTCCAGCCACACCCTACACAATCTTTAGACACAAGGAACAAAAGTGCAATAATCCCTTCGAGGCCCCAGTAGAGACTACAATTGAGGGCTAATGGGCTTGGAAGGGGGTCTTTCTAACAGAGGCCATCTCAGCGTCGATTAGATAGCCTCTGCTGGAAACAGTCGCCTCCAGGCCCCAGTAGAGACTACAATTGAGGGCTAAAAGGCAGTGGAGGGGGGTCATTCTAGCAGAGGCTATCTCAGTGTCCTTTAGAGAGTGTGTTAGAAAGAATCTCCTCCAGGCCCCATTAGAGAATACAATGGAGTCTAATGGGGCCTGGAGGGGGGTCTCTCCAACACTCTGGTTCCTATTCACAATATAGCAACACAACATAGCTCGCTGATACTTAGGCCAAGTTGGCTCCTCTTACCTTAATTACTGTTGCTGGCTGGCAGTCTGTGGGCTTGCTGGAAGGCTGTGGGCTTGCTGGCTGCGGCTGGCAGGCTGTGATTTGCTGGCAGGCTGTGGCTTGCTGGCAGGCTGTGGGCTTGCTGGCTACTGCCAGCAGGCTGTGGGCTTGCTGGCAGCGGCTGGCAGGCTGTGGGCTTGCTGGCTGCGGCTGGCAGGCTGCGGCTTGCTGGCTGCAGCTGGCAGGCTGCGGTTTGCTGGGTGCGGCTGGCAGGCTGCGGCTTGCTGGCTGCGGCTGGCAGGCTGTGACTTGCTGGCTACGACTGGCAGGCTGTGGGCTTGCTGGCTGTAAGCCTGTGGCTTGCTGTAGGCCTGTGGGCTGGCTACTGGCCTGGCTGGCTTGTGGGCTAATTGGTGGCCTGTGGGCTGGCTACTGGCCAGCCCGTGGGCTGGCTGGCTGGCCTGTGGGCTGGCTGGATGGCCGGCCTGTGTGCTGGCTGGCTTGCTGGCTACTGAAGCACTTACTGAAGCACAGACATACATACATACACACACAGACACATACACTGACAGACATACTGACTGACACACACACAGACATACTTACATACACACACAGACATAAGAAATAATCCATGCACAATAACCACTACTGTTCTGTGTAGTGGTTATGGTGCCAGGAGGGCTGGGACCCCCTCCCAGAGTAAGTAGTCAAACCGTTTAAGAACAGTTTGACAACTTACCTGGGGTCTGCTGGGATATGGGGCTGTAGTAGGGTATAGGAGCAGTGGTGCAATGTGTGAGGGGTGCAGTGTGTGTGGGGGGGTGTAGTGTGTGAATGTGTAGGGTGTGGGGGGCAATGTATGTATGAGGGGGTTGTGTATGGGGGTCTGTGTGTGTATTGGTGGGCAGTGTATGTGTGTGTGTGAGGCAATGTGTGTAAATGTGTATGGTTTGTGTGGGGGCAGTGTGTGTGTATGGGGGGCAGTGTGTGAATGTGTATGGTGTGTGTGTGGGGGCAGTGTGTGAATGTGTATGGTGTGTGTGTGGGGGCAGTGTGTTTATGGGGCTAGAGTTCACTCTCACCACTGCGACCACCAGGAATGCCTGGTGGTCACAGTGTTGAGAGTGAAGTCTAGCCTGTAGCTTCAGGGCTAGAGTTGACTCTCGCGAGAGCCGTAACGTTCCTGTGGTAACCGCAGCAATGCTCTGTGCTTGCGCAAGAAGGACCCAGAGGAGCTGCAGGCTGAGTTCCCGGGTCCTCTCTTCCTCCCTCCCCTGCTGGCTGCCCGCACGGTGCCTGCGGACCAGGGAGAGAGAACGGCCAGCAGGGGAGGGGGGGGCAATTGCCCCGTTGCCCCCCTGGATCCACCAGTGATATATACAGCCCCTCTGTGTGCCTTTTTGTCTCCCCCCAATCCCTCTGTATGTTTATTTCTCCCCCTCACTGCTCCTGTGCCCATGTCTCCCCTCTCCTTCCCAGTCTCTCTTACCCCTGTGTCTCATTCTTCCCCCTCTGTGTCTCTTTCTCCCTCCTCCCCGTGTCTCTCTATTCTCCCACTGTCTCTTTCTTCCCTCTTCCCCTACGTCTATCTATTCCCTCTCTCTGTTTTATTTTCCCCCCTCCCATTTACTGACAGAAGTCAGAGGGGGCCGCATGCATCCTGTGCTGGGAATTGTGGGAACCGCAAGGGAGCATGAAAGAGAGACATGCTCCTCCCTCCTTCAGTCCTCAGCGTCAGGGCCGTCTATAATATGATTAGGACCCTGGGCAATGCATTTTCTTGGGCCCCATGGGCCCTGTCCCTGCCACTGCCTCACCCCCCAATTACGTCCAACCCGCAATCACACTGACAGACGTACTGGCACATACACACACAGACAGACATTAAAACATTCACAGATACATACTGACACACACAGTCACTACACACAAATATATACTGGCAGACATACTGACACACACACAGACATACATACATACATACATACACAGACACATACATTAACAGATATACTGACACACACACAAACACATACACTGACAGATATACTAAAACACACAGACACATACACTGACAGACACATTGACACACACACACAGGCATACTGACATATACACAGACAGACGTAATGGCTGATACAGACAGACGTAATGGCTGATACAGACAGACATTAAAACATTCACAGATATATACTGACACACACATACACTGACATACAAATATATCCTGGCAGACATACTGACACACACACACACAGACATACATACATACACACACAGACACATACACTGACAGACATACTGACTGACACACACATACACACACAGACATACTTACATACACACACAGACATACTGACACACAAAGACATGCTGACACACACACACAGACACACACACAGACAGACTGGCACATACACACAGACAGACATTAAAACATTCACAGATACATACTGACACACACATACACTGACACACAAATATATCCTGGCAGACATACTGACACACACGTACACACACACACACAGAGACATACCTAAATACACACACACAGACATACTGACACACACACACAGACATACTGGCATACACACAGACATACTGACACACACACACTGACATACACACACAGACATACTGGCATACATACAGACATACTGACACACACACACACACTCACACAGCCATACTGGCATACACACACAGACATACTGGCATACACACAGACATACTGACACACACACACAGACATACTGGCATACACACACAGACATACTGGCATACACACAGACATACTGACACACACACACAGACATACTGGCATACACACACAAACATACTGGCATACACACACAGACATACTGGCATACACACAGACATACTGACACACACACACACAGACATACTGGCATACACACAGACACACTGACACACACACACACACACACACACACACACACACACACACACACACACACACACACACACACACACACACACACACACAGACATACTGACACACACACACACAGACATAAACACACAGACAGACCTACTGACATACATTTAGCCACCCTCCAGGTTCTTACCTTTTCCTGGAGGGTGGTTTCCCTGGTCCAGTGGCAGGCTGAGGCAGATGGGAGTTCTCCTCTGGAACTCCCCTCCTCCCTGCCTTCCTCCTCCCGCACGGCTATCTCCGGTGGGAGGAAGTGACGACACTTCCTCCCAGCCGGCTGCAGAACCGGAAGAGGGGACCGGTCGCGCTGTTTAAGCGCCACAGCGCCCGACCGGGTCCCTGCTGCCACATGCTCCCCGGGTGGCCCTTAGTGCATGGGCCACCCGGGGAGCCTCCTCAGTGTGCGGGAGCCGCACCGCAGGGCCTGCGCAAATCGCGGGGCCCACAGAGCAGCTGCTCTGGGCCCCCAGGAGCAACTGGGCCCGGGGCAGCTGCCCCGTTTGCCCCGCGTTAAAGACGGCCCTGCATGTACTGATCCATATGCATGCTTATACTGTTCAGAGGTCCAATATTGTTCTATGTACACTCCTTGTTTTATTGATTGCATGTAATATTCTAATTTACTGAGTGGGTTTGGGGTTTTCATGAGCTGTAAGCCATAATAATCGCACTTATGAAAAAACAAGGCTTGAACTATGTTGCTTTGCATGTAATGCGTCTATCTCATATATTAATTTCCCCTTTTACGTTGCATTAATGAAATTAATGAACTTTTGCACGATATTTCAATTTTTCGAGTATCACCTGTACTAAACAACAAACACAAAACAAACAGATCTATTTATAAACACGCTATACCACAAACATACCCTTTACACACACATTTTGACAAACAGCCTGCAAATGCATTTCTAATACCGTTTACTGCCCCTGTACCACTTTATCTTCTAGTCTTCCACTTATAGAGATACCAAAGACAATTTACCAACAATTATGAGGTTTATTACAGTGAAACTCTGTGATACTTACATACAAAATTGACATGACTCTGTGTTTTATTGCTGTGGAGCGCTGTGATAAACTACAATACATATAACTGTAAGATGTGCCTGAGTATGCCTGTGTGCATATCTGTGCCTGTCAATGTATGTGTTTATCAATACCATTCTGTGTGTGTGTCTATGCCTGTGTGTACTTGTGCACATCTGTGCCTGGCTGTCTGTGTCTCCATGTGTGTGTATATCTATGTGTGTGTATATCTATGTGTGTGTCTGTAAGTAACTGTGTGCCAAGAGGCATATTAAGCAGTGGAATCGGGAAGGGTCAGAGATGGAGTTTGGGGTCCAGAAGTGGAACTTTAGAAAGGGATTACCAGATTATTTTAGGCTCAAGCCCCAGGTGTTTTTTGACCAAATGTAAGAAAAAGAGACAATACTTGCCGGCTCTTTAGTAAAAGCCCCCCTTCCCTTTCTTTTGGGTTATATGGGCTAGTTTCTGTTGGGAGAACTGTAGATCCAGCGCTGGAGGCAGCCATTTAAAAATGGTTTAATCCCTTAAGGTAAGAAAGAGCCTGTGGCCTCCTTGCACCATAACTACTTAATTGACATGACATTGTTAAGGTGACTGGAATGTTCCTTTGAGTTGCAATAAAGCAAAAATAAAAGGGAATGCGTAATTGCAGGATACTAACACTTTTTTTAAGTTTTCAGATTAAATACATGCTTTTAAAATCAAATTTACACACACTGTCCTATATTGTATCGAAGTTGTAAAAACTTTTGACAGTTTTTTTTTCGTTGCAAAATAAAACTTGAAGTACTTGGTGTTCGCAGCAAAAAATATAACTGCGCATTTCACCAGTTATAACTCCTCTATGTAACACCTTCACTAGGTGTACAATTTAACTACAGCTTTTATCACATACATCTTCGCTGTAGGCCCAATATAGTTTTAGCATTTCATTGTTCTTCATTTGATTGTCTCACATCTATTCTACCTATGATCCACCTTTCCATTTTTTGTTAATTGAGCTTGTGCTGGCCCTGGTATGCTAGATTAATTCAATGTTGTTGGAAGATGTAATAAGTGGGGGGATGTGATTAACAGCCAAACTGTATGCCAATGAAGTGTTATTGTGTTCTAATACAGGGATTAAAGCCCCCATTCTACCCTTAGGCAATAATGGAGTCCTCTGTGAAGCACATGGCCTTTCACCAGACAAACTCCTCCTCCATTCCATTCCAATGCAATCCCCCTTCACCCAGGAGGCACTCTGGTTCTGTTACATCCTAAGGGATTGACTAAGGGAGGTGTGTCCAGCAGAAGGAGGGACTAACCTGTTTAAACCACTTTGAATAGCACATTCTCTCTCTCTCTTTGAATTACCTCTCTTCACCTTCTCTCTCTCTCTCCCCTCTCCCCACTATACACACCCTCTCTCTCTTACTCTCAGCTGCTGATCAATGGAGTGGTAACTGTATCATGTGTCTATGCCTGTTTTACTATGTTAATTTAGCCTACTTTCCATTCAGTCAATGATTAGTTTTAGTAGCAACATATACTAGCCTATTTCAAATGTATAAGTATTGTTTATTTGTTTGATTAGCCTTTATTAATAAATATTATGGTAGCCCATGGAGCAACGCAGTATGGGGAGTGGGCCTTGACAGAGCCAGGGAGTGGGCATGGGCTTAAGTTTGTGGGAAGGGTTTTGGGAGTGATGTTTTGGGGGGTGGAGAGTAGGGATATATAGAGCGGCCATATTAGAATAGGGGCCATTTTAACTGGAGCCTCTCTTACCTGTAGATTGTTGCAGGCCAGAGAGGTTCCCTCCTTTTTTCTTTGTTTCCCTGCAGGTCGATGGCGGCGTTGGAGGAGCTTCTGGAGGGAGTGCGGGCGGCCGTGAGGGACCGTGGCCTCGAATGGCTACATCAGCAGCTGGGGGCCGCCGGGCCTTCCGCATCGGTACCGGCGCGACGACCGGCCAGGAGGACGAGGCCGCCGCAGCGCTTCAGAGGGAGGAGGAACGTCCGCGGGGGCAGGAGAGGTCCCGGTCGTGGAGCCGGGAAGGAGCACGGCTCGGGCTGGCAGGCGCGGCTGCGGTCTGGCGAGGACGGCCGTAAAGCACCCGGCGGCTGGACGACGCACGCCGCGTGGGTCGGCGGCAGGCAGGGGAGATGGAGCGGTGGCTGCCAATTCGGCGGCCGGGTCGGCGGCCAGGACGGAGGACGGTCACGTGGGCGGGATCACAGAGCTGGAACGTCCCGGTGAGTAAGCCACCAGTGGCACCGCTGTGGGGCAGGAGAATGTGGTTAGGGGGAGTGTGGAGACAAGAGCAGCCCCCCATGGGTCTGGGGGAGGCTGGGGCGGCGAGGTCAGCGCAGGGACGGCCCAGGCAGGGGTCAGGAGGGAGGTGGTTTTAGTGCGCAGGAGACGGCTGGATCAGGGCGCACGGCGATCAGCCAGGGACAGGATTCTTTAACGGGAAGGACGGCTAGAGGGAAGCCAGGCGCAACAGCAGTGGGAGACAGACGTAGACCCACCCTAGAGGGAGGTGACAGGGGTGGTGGCAGCAGGCGGGAGGGTCCTTCTGGCTGCTCCCAGGGTCAGTATATGGACGGAGAGGACGCAAGGAGTGAGAGGAGAACGGAACGGCGCAGCATGAGCGCCAGGCGCAGCAGCACAAGGAGCAGAGCAGGGAGTCGAGGAAGCGGGGAGAGGTCACCAGTGCGGAGCAGATGCAGCGCAGCTAGGTCCTGTTGCAGGGAAGGCTGTGGGAGGTCCCTGTCTAGGGATAGAAGGCAGAGGAGTCAACGTAGCACGTCTGATTCACCAGACAGGAGAGTACAGGTTCACTCAAGGGGAGCGGATTACAGGGGGAGTCGTTCTGCAAGGCAGCTGGAACGTGGGGAGGAAGGGCGGGTAGACCCTACGCTGAACAGACTACCCAGGTTTTCTTCTCCCTGCAGGTCACGGAGCAATACCCCTACGGTCTCGAGGCGGGACCAGGCGGATGGGAGTCGGCGACAACACGACACTCCGGCTCCCGGAATGGTGGGCGGAAGGACGATGCCCCTGCGGTCAGCTGCGGCCAGGGGCTTGAGCGGTGAGTCAACACATGCACGACACTCTGGACAGTTGTTGAGTGATTTGAAAGTATTTTTAGACGCT